AATCCTAGAGAAACAGAAGTATTTGCTGCTATCATCAAAATTCTCTTCTCTGAAATCAGATTCGCAATAGATGATTTTCCTCCAAATCACTTTATGTTACATCTTACTTTTTCTGAATCGACATCAAATCATTTTCCCCCAACCTTGCTCTCTCCACGAACTCAAAAAAATTTAGAATATGAAAAGGAACCAAGGGGCAGCTAAAATGAGATTTGCCAAGAACTAAATTTAAAAGAATTATCTATTTTTTTATCTATTAATCAATTTATCATAGTCATTAATATCCATTAATAAAATAATCCCCGTGAAAGAAACTATAAATCATATTCATCAAAATATTTTTATATTCATTCCTTCAAATTTTGATTTACAATAGTTGGAAGATTTCAACAATATTAATCTATCATTTTAAAGCTACTCACTATGAAATAATAAACTAAAATACAAAAAAAAAAGTACTGATTAATCTCACTCCAAAAGGTCATGTCCCATTTTTAAACATGAAATCAATAAAAATATATAATAAGCACATAGCCGAACAAGAAACCAAAACCTACAACTACATTCAATGCAGGATAAACAAATTAATATGTATGCCTAGTCTCAATAAATATCAATCAATCAACTATTAGTTTGAATGGTAAACCATCTATGCAATCAATATCAATCAATATATATATATAGCGGCCTAGCATTGCAGCGATCAGATTCAACACTACATCATTGCAAGTTGAAAATATAATTATTATAAAATAGTCTCTCTAATGTCACAGTGTTTCTGATGATACTGTGCTTCAAGCCTAACGTCGCAGTGCTACCAAGCATAACATCGAAGTGCTCCAAGTAGAACAAAAATTTTAAATTCATTTAAAAATACTTTTCATAATTATGAGATTGTTACAATCTACCCACGTTGGAAAAATATTGACCTTGACATTTCCACCATCAAAAGTAAACAAAAAAAATGGTGGAAATAAATTCAATTCGTAATTCACCAAATAAATCAATATGATTAAAAACTAGTAAATTAACTTAAATCCCTTCAATAATCTCTAAAATATTTTTTATGATTGAGTTATCATTCATTACATTCAATTAATCATAAGTTCAATCATATACTTATGATAATTAATTATTCAACATGCGATGCAATGCTTATCAATTATAAACTGTGGGTCATACCGGTGTTATTCATATTGTACTAAATTGAGATGGTTCTCTTTGATCTTTAAGAACTTCTCATCCAACAGTCTTACTTGTGGACCCTTCACTGCATTCTCTAGATCCAATAATCATATATCATTCTATAACATTTTTCTTTCACTATATTAATCAAATGTGAGGTGTACCTTGCTAGTATAGTAAATTTGGCTTCATACTTCATCATTATATTTTCTCCCTACTCTAATCTCATAAAGATCATTTGCATTTACTATCGAGCTGATAGGGGTACAAACCAATCTCTAAAAATTTCTCCCTCTATTATCCTATCCACCATTTCTCAACCTCTCCTTCAAATAAAAATACTGCTAGTGAAAATTTCATAGACATTGCAAGCTATGAAATATTTTTTTATCCTCAATAGCCACTTCAGATACCTAGGGTTCTACAACTCTCTCAAAAAATGATGACTTCAATTTGTGAAACATTTATAGATGTTTACTTACTTATGATTTGTTATGTCCAGTTGACTTATTCTAGGCATCACTCAATACCTTTGCAAGCATACTGACAACCTACAATAAACTATTAGAACTTATTAGAACTACTGTTGCGCTCTATCTATTATGTATATCCTAATTATTAGGGTACATTTGTGTACTTATGTAATTCTTTTTCCTAACCAATAAATACACAAACTCAACATACATACATATATATATATATATATGCAGATTATTTAGTCATACGCAAAGATGACAAATCTATATAACGCAACTGCTAACCCCACTCGTAATCCATTTCTATGGCTCTAGCTACAGTTCAATTCCTCCAACAACTGCTCTGATACCAAATTTATCACGCTCTAGATTTAAATTGAAAGAATTATCTAATTTATCTTTTAAAATTATTTATTAGAGCTTTTATATATCATCATTATAAATTAATATGTCCAACAAAAGTAATTAGTTATAATATATATTAAAATTTTACTATATTCATTCACTAAATTCACATTTACAGTAGTTAAGAGATCACTAACGATCAATAATCTATAAATAGCTCTTGGCTACGAAAGAATAAAATAAAAATACAAAATAAAAGAGGAAAACTAAATATCTTAATTCCCCTCGCTTCATAGAGTCATGGCCTCTTTCCTAAACTAAAACTAATAAAACTATATAATAATCCTACATGCCCAAAAGAAACTCAAAACTCACTAATTCAATGCAGAATTTAAGGAATCAATATGCAGGCTGATATAAATCAATAGCGTTCAATAATATCAATAAACCGTCATCATTGTTACAATTCAATATGATTAATAATGATAAGTAAAAAATCATCATGATTAAATTTATAAATCAACAACATTTGTGAGGATGTAAATACATCTACAATCAATAAATTAGTGATCAACAAATCAGTATTGTAAATCATGAACATATAAGTATCTATGTCATCAGTATTGACCATTTTATCAATTATATGTTATAAAATTAGTACATTTAACATTCATATGCTATATGTGCCCTATATTACTAATCAATCTATCAATGTATGTATGCATCAATATATGATTCAATAAGATATGACATCTAACTTTAACTTGGTATTTTCATTTTTTCATCTCTATTCATTGTATCTTTATATCATCATTTTATTATTATCATTATCATTGCATCATCTTTATCATTATTATAATTATAGGTGACTTTCAATGAATCATTAAAATTTGTCACCCTCTGCCCGTCGGCTTAATCATTCATTAATTACGGAATATAATCGATGATAACATCATAAACCATCTTTAAAGAAAAGCCTATCGACCCTCATACTCATATTAAATATAGTATTGATAATCATAATTCATTATTTACATGCAAAAGCTACATTTAGTATATATCGATTGTATTAGTTTCTCTTAAATATGTGAAATGCAACATGAAATGCTTAAATCTATAGAATATATGAAAATATGTATATTAGTTTATAACTTTAGAAAATTATAACTTTCATTTTAACTAATGAAATTCAATAATTTTACGATCAAAATTTCCATAAATTTTATAATTATTATGTATGTAAAGTTACACGATAAAAGTGAAATAAATGAGAAGAAAATGCATATTTATCTATTTAAGATAGATTAAATTTATCAAACTCAAAAATATAAAAAAAAACTAGAGTGGGGTTCAAGTTACTTGTAACGATTCAAAGACTTTTTCTAACTAAAGCAATGTACTAAAATGACAAAAACCCAACTTTCTCTCTTCCCTTTCTCTTCTTCTTATCCCTTTCCCTCTCTTCTTATCCCTTTCCCTCTCTTCTTCCATAGCAAGCCAAGCAAAATAGGGGAGGGCGAAAAAGCTTGTGGCTATATTGCTTAGAGTTTTATTATTAATTATATATAAAACCAATATTAGTGGATTTGCACCGCAATATTGCACATTGAATTTAGAATTACTGTAGAATGGAGCCTCTAATACCACGACAACAATTTTTGGAGCCACTGTGCTCTCAATCCTAGTACCGCAAAGCTACCAAGCACAATGCTGAAGCCCTCCAGTTCAAACCAAAATTCAAAATTTCATTTTAAAATATTTTTCATAATTATGAGGTTGTTACAACAACATCTAGGCATAGAGGGTTAGCAAGAGTTGGATTGCAATGAGATTCTTATGGTGAGTGGAAAAATGCAGATAATTTTTTTTTGAGATAAATATTATTGTTTGATTATAAGAAGATTTTTCAATAGCAAGATGTAGCAAGAATCCATGACAAGTGAGGATTAATATTAAATCTAAATGAAATTCAGTACAAGTTGTATGTATGGTTGCAATTTCATTCATAACCAAATGTGCTTCAAAGAAGAAAACATGAATGATTATGACAGTACCATGAGATGCTCTTAAAAGACACTTAAAGTCGGTTAGAGTTAACAAAATTAGCATCTTACTCTTAAATTTATTATAAAATTATTGTAATTAATTTAATTTAATGTAATTCTTCAAGTAATGTCACCGATGACCATAAAATAATGTAATGTATATCATTGTGATATGTTACAATTATTGATTTATGCAAACTTGTATTTATTTTATAATTTGCTATTATACTATTTGTGATAGCCCTTTAATATGTTATAACTCCATAATTATACTTTGAAAAATCTACCTTATAATCTATGACTATGACACTAAAATACTAATTTTTGTTAGAATGCACTCTGTTGTATCTACCATCTCTCTTGTGTCTACTATTAATTATTAAACGTTGTTCGAACATGGTTTGAATTTTGGTCGAATAGGTTGAACAAATTTCAAACGACATTCAAACTATATTTGAATTTTCAACAAGTATTATTTGAATATTGTTCGAATTATTGTTAATCTCAATGAATTTTAAGATGTATTTTACGATTCAAAAGCATTTATTATGATTTTAAATAATTTTGTAGACACATTTATTCAAGAAAACATATTTCCATTATTATGAGATATATAATGTTAAATATATATAAAGGAGCTTTCTATATGTGAGGAACTCATCCTTAAATAATATATTTTTTAAAAAATATATTATCATAATGACCATTTAACACAACTCTTCTTGGCCTATTGGTTGAGAGCTTAGGCTTCCAACTAAGAGGTCCAAGATTTGAGTCTTTGTGTATGGGTTGTATGTATGAGTTTGCCTTAAATGGCCTAAATATCCCTTAAAAAAAAAAAAAAAAAACCATTTAAAAAACGGTAGAATAAAAAAAAAGTATATACATATAAACCGGTAGAATAAAAAAAAAAGTATACTCTTGCCCTCAGTGCGGGTATATGATAATTAGGCCCCTGAATATACATATCCGACGCAACTCTGCTTTCGGGCTTCGCACGTAATCTCTCCATCCCTCTCCCATCTCTTTTGGCCTCTCCTCTCCCCAAGTTCGAAGTGACAATTCAGTCCGTGAAACTTCGAACAGGTGAGGCACTTGTTCCATGAAGAGATCTTGGAGGAGCTAGGGGAACCATGACAGTCGTTCCCCTCAAATCTTTACCTTTAGGCTTCCGCTTTCACCCAACCGACGAAGAGCTCGTTAACCACTACCTCAAAGGAAAAATCACCGGCCGACTCCGTTCTGAGGTAGAAGTCATTCCTGAGATTGATGTCTGCAAATGCGAGCCGTGGGAACTCCCTGGTATCATCAGTAGTTCCCAACTCCTCATCTCGACTTATACCCTTTCTTCTTCTTTTCAGCGTCGAAAGTTTTGAACTTGATGGGTTTTGGGTTTTTTTTGCAGATAAATCTTTGATCCAATCCGATGACCATGAGTGGTTCTTCTTCGCGCCTATTGACCGCAAGTACCCGAATGGCCATCGCTACAACCGGGCGACGGGGGCTGGTTACTGGAAGGCCACTGGTAAGGACAGGACCATCCGGTCGCGGGCTGCGACACCTCTTCGAGTCATCGGGATGAAGAAAACCCTAGTCTTTCACTGCGGCCGAGCCCCAAATGGATTGCGTACGTGCTGGATTATGCATGAGTATAGGACTACCGAGCCGGAATTTGATTGCGGGGAACAGGTATACCATTTCTTTGTGTACGCTTGTATCTGTGCTTCCCACTTCGAGTTTTAGCTGCATAATAGTGAATGAATTTTTGAATATTTTAAGAACGATTCCTAGAATTTGATATTTTTGCTTGTTTTCCTGTGTCTTGAGACTTTAGAGCCTTTTTTTGGTTCGTAGAAGCTGCCTTCCTAAGTGAAAACTATATATTTTTTGTGTATTTGAGTTTTATATGAAATTTTGATTTTGGTAGCATTGGGAGTCCATCGTTTAATTGCGTGGTTCCATGACGGAAGAATGTCTGGGTGTTTAGATCTGCATGGGACCAATTTACTTGATCTAGCTCATATGATATATGATGTCCTTGTTGTTGGACATGGCCAAGTTGCATATGACAGAATAATTCTGCTTTTAGTAAAGGCTTACAGCTTTAAATAGAGAGAGCACTCTGGTTTGGTTGCACATTTTATTTTTTCTTAATGGCTAATCTCTTTCTTACGGATGTTTTATTTATGTTATATGGTTTTTCTGCATTATTACAAAATTTGCCTCCAAGGCAAGGCATTGCTAGAAATAATATCAATCAAGCATGGGGGGGGGGGGGGGGGGGGGGGGGGCAGTGGACCTTGAGAGAATTACTATTATTTTGAGGGGAGAAGAGAACTACTTAGAGATTTTTATACTTTTATTATTCTTTTGCTCTTGTTTAGTGAAGAATTTTCTTTTGGCTCTTCGTTTAAATATATAATGGACATAGGACTTAAGATCAAGCCCCTTAAACATACAACATGCTCATCAACAAGAAGTCTACCTTGAGAGAATTACTATTATATTGAGGGGGAAAGAAATTTTTGTACTTATATTACTCTTCTTCTCTTGTTTAGTGAAAATTTACTTTTGGCTCTTGGTTTAAATGTATAATGGACACAGGACTCAAGATCAAGCCACTTCAAGATTATTTTCTTCATTTTAAGATTGTTTTCTTTGCATTGTCACCAACCTCTTCAGAGAGTATAATAGGTACAACTATTTCTTAAATCCTTGCCATTTAAATAGTGAGATTCCTCTTATCTTAAGAGAGAATGAATTTTCATTATACACATCTTTGCATACAATTAATTCTTAAACTTTATGAGGGAATAGTAATATTAATGAAGTCATATGAATAGACTTTATGATGATAAGAGCACCATTAGCTTACGATTATATTGTTGGGTGACCGCTACTTCATTCATTTATAACCTTGGTGTTCACCAAGAAACTCTAGTCAAATTCTCATTCTTTAGCGACTTTATCAATATCCAAAGAGCTTTGATTCAGTTGCAAAAATGCTATTTCAATGCTGTCAAAGAAATTTACCTTGAGAGAATTACTATTATATTGAGTGGAAAAGTGATTTTCTTAGAGGCATTTATACTTATATTATTATTTTTCTCTTGTTAGTGAAGGCTTTTCTTTCGGCTCTTGATTTAAATATATAATGGACATAGGCTTCAAGATCAAGCCATATAAACATTATCGTCTTCATTTTTAGATTGTTTTCTTTGCATTGTCACCAGCCTCTTTAGAGAGTATAATGGGTACAACTATTTGTTAAATCATTCTCATTTGAATAGTGAGATTCCTCTTATCGTAAGAAAGAATGACATATCATTCTTCACATATTTGCATACAATTAATTCTCAAACTTTATAAGGAAATACTTTATTAATGAAGCCATAGGAATATACTTCATCATGATAAGAGCGCCATTAGCTTACAATTACATCTTTGGATGATCGCTACTTCACTAATTTATAATTACAGTGTTCACCAAGCAACTATAGTCAACTTCTCATTCTTCAGCGACATTATCACAATCCAAAGAGCTTTGATCAAATTGCAAAAATGTTATTTCAATTATGTCAAAGAAGAGAACAATATTGTACAGAAGAAGATGGAGCATGAAGGCTTGATTGAAGAACCTACTATTGAAGGGTAATCATTAGAGTTGAAATTTCATTTTAGCTCTTTTTGCAAACAAACTTTCTAAACAAAAATTATATCTTAATTGTATAATAGTATGATTATTTTTATTTAGGAGTCATCTGAGATGCTGGGGGGTATATATGAACATCGTTTACCATAAGTTAAATATCAATACCGAAAATAAAGATTAAATATACCTCAATAAAGATAAAATAGAAAAAATAGAAAATTCTTTGAAGAAATTAAAGTTGCGATGTAAGAAGTAAAATTTCTAGAAGTCATATTCATTTGAGAAGTCTTTCACCCCTTTTGGATTTCAAGTGTAACTATAGAAAATAAATCTAATCTTACGCGACAAATATGTGTGAATTTCAAGAAAGTAAATGGTGCTTGCTCAATGTATTCTTACCTATTGCCCAATATAGGTACTATGGTTGACTTAATATAAGGTTTCTATACATTTGATTTTTTGTTTAATGCATTTTTGGTCTCCACCTAATTGAAAAGCACCTCAAAGATTAAGAGAAAACTAGTTTTATCAAGGATAAAGGGTTGTTTTTGAAAATAAAGTTATGCCTTTTGGGCTAAAAAATATTTGTACAAAATATTTGGAACTAATGGGCATAATATTAAAAAATTAAATGGAAGATATTTGGATTTTCATGTTGATGATGGCTTATTTAAGAGTTAGAATAATGAAAAGCATCTCATTTAGGTTCGGAGACATTCTTTTTATTAAGAAAGTGTAACACGAAGTTGAATACTATGAAGTCTTTATTCAGAGTTTGATCAGACAAATTTTTGTGATATGTGGTCTCTGCTGACGACATGTAGGCAAACTTGACATAATATAGATAATGCTTGAAACAAAACTGCCTATAAATATTCAAGAAGCAAGAAAGCTTATAGGAAAACTTGCAAGTTTTAACCAATTCATATATTTGTCAAGATAAAGAAATGCTCTATTGTTTAAACCTCCTAGGATATCCAACTAGTTTATTTGGGATAATGATTATAAGAATACATTTCAACATGAAGTTAAATCCTTCAAAATGCTTATTTGGATTGGGTAAATTTTTGATATTCATGGTCGCTGTTGATGATATAGAGGCAAACTCTAACAAATAATAATAATTATTGAAACAAAACTACTGAAAGCTATTCAAGAAGTATGAAAGCTTATAGGAAATCCTGCAAGTCTTAAGCCAATTCATGTCTCAGTTAGGAGAAAGAAATGCTTTATTAATTAAAGCTCCTAAGAAATCTAACTTATTCATTTGGGACAATGTTTATGAGGAATCTCCTTAAAAGATATAACATTACCTTACCACTACATCAATATTGAGCAATTGAAGTTTGGGAGAGAAATGGGAAATAATATCCAATCTACGATTTCAGCAAAATACTTAATGGAGCTAAATTGAATTGTTCCACATTGGATAAATTAGCTCTAGCTTTCATCTCTATCTCCAAACACTTAAAAATTATATTTTTAGTTTCACAAAATCAAAGTGGTGGCTCACATTAGTCTAGGAAAGTCCTTCAGAGCCTCAAGCTCTCATTTGACTAATTAAGTGGTTCATTGAACTCAACAAAGACCATGTATTAAATTAGGTGTCATGTATGACGATAAAAGCTCAAGTACTTACTAATTTGTTCTCGAGTTTTCCAAGTCAAAAGAGAATATGAAGAAAACAGAATGAAGAAGATGAAGATATTCGGGTCATGCTTACTGATGGTTTCTTAGGGGAAAACAATCATGGAGTTATTGTCATACTTTAAATCCCTCAAGGCATGTTGGTTTTGTGATCTATTAAAATCATATTTCAAAGCCATTAACAGTTAGTCTACCTGTGAAGCACTACTAGTTGGACTAAGATTTGTTATAAGAGTTTGGGAGGAGAAGCTACAAATTTTTAATAATTGCCAACTTCTATGTTTTTGGACACTTGGAGTTTTAAGGATACTAGCCCTTAAGAAATATGTCTGAAGGTACAACTTGAGATTATCAAACTTGAGAAATTTGATATTATTCATATTCCAAGAGAAGAAATCAATGTTGTTGACTTGCTCACAAAATATGACTATGCATTTGCTACATCTATTTAAGAATTTCATAAACTATCAATGAAATACGAAGATGAGATGTGCAAATAAATGAAGCTTATTGCCAACGTTTAAAATTGCGCAATAAGAGGCGCGCCTCAGCACAATTTGGTCTATTTAAGCCTCAAAGCCCACGCAATAAGTTCAGTTTATGAGGCTTACGCCTCAAGTTTACTTACGGCGCGCCTCGCCTCATATATTTAAGGCGCAGCCTCTAAAAAAATAAAATTAACCTAAAGTTTTTTTTTTTCAGTTCGGCCCCCCAGTTGCCGACGTGGCGCGCCTAGTGAGATGTCGACGTGACATCAACATTTAGGTCGAATGCAGAGGCGACTTTTAGATTTTCAAGTTCCAACAAAAATTCGAACTTTCAAGCATTCACTTCCGAGCAATTTCAAGCACTCTTCACTCAGTTTCTTCTAAGATGTCGTCACCCCAAAGAGAAAGGTAACTTAATGCTATGTTTCTGTTCCGTACTGCGTATTTTATGGTTATGCTATGCGTTGGTTTTCAAGGTTCTGAAGATCTTCTTATTTTATGCTTATTCTATGCGTATGCATTGCTTCTCGAAACTTTTTTAAATGTTTGATACTTTGATGCCATCATGTTTTCTCTGTATTCAGGATTTATGATAAATTTATGTTGAAATTTGAAACATAAAATCTAACTAAATTTTAAACACCGAGTAATATATGCGTAGGCTGTGCGTACGCAATGCGTCTTTTGTGCGTATTCTATGCGTATACGTTGCGTGATCCTTGCTTATATTGTGCGTACTTTATGCGTGCGTATAATTTGCTGACATTTTCTCTACAATGTGCGTTCTTGTGCGTATGTTATGCATATACTATACGTGATTAGTGTTTATGATGTGCGTATTGTTTGCGTTTGTATAATTTGCTGCCATGTTTCCTGCACTGTGCGTTCTTGTGCGTGTGATG